CAGTAATGTGTACCTGACCTTCTGCTTTTTCAGGGACATGCTTTAGTGTCTGCACCATCTATTCTTCCGTCATGCAGATGAGCCCAAGTAAAACCCATCTTTAAGACCAATCTTCCATTGACTATTTCCCCCTTCTAACTCTCAACCCTATCTCTGCTTCCTGTCATAGAATTCTTCTGAATAATTGCCTATACTGGTTCTTTCTACTTTTTCACATCTCCCATTGTCTCCCCAAAGCACTCTGAGTGACATTTTAACCCCTAATAATCTACTGAAATGGTTCTAACAAAGTTACTCTTGACCTCTAATTTTTAAATCCCAGCATTACTTCTCTGTCCTGATGTTACTAACCCTTCAGTAGCATTTGACCTGGTGAACAACTCCTTTTTTTTTTATTAGTTTTAAATTATTATAAAATACTTCAGACATAAAAAAAAGTACAAAATAATATAATTAACATGTATATTGCCATCTAGCTGAAAGAGTGAAAACTATCCATTCAGCTGAAGCCCCCAAGCATCTCTTCCCAATTGTGTCCTCTCCAATACTCCCAGATGTAGCTACTATACTGAATTGATATTTATTGTTCCATTACTTCTTTTGTACTTTTGCTACATATGTGTTTTCTTATGTACTATGTAGTGGTTTTCATGTTTTTAACTCCCATATTAAAAAAGTTATTCTCACATATCTTCTTTTGCATCTTGTTCTTTTCATTCAGCATTTTGTTAGGAGAATCATTCATGTTGCCATGCAAGGCCCTGGAATGTTTATTTTCACTACTGTATAGTGTTCCCTTATATGAATAGACTATAATTTATGCATTATCCTATAGATGGATACTTCAGTTATTTTTTTTAAAGATTTATTTGTTTATTTTTAGAGACAGTGTTTGAGCAGGGGGAGAGCTAGAGGGAGAGGGTGAAAGAGAGAGAGGGAAGCAGATTCCCTACAGAGCATGGAGCCCGATGCAAGGCTTGATCCCATGACCCTGAGATCATGATCTGAGCTGAAGTCAAGAGTTGGAGTCCTATATATACAATGAATATTAGCAGCCATCAGAAAGGATGAACACCCAACTTTTGTATCAACATGGACGGGGCTGGAGATTATGCTGAGTGAAATAAGTCAAGCAGAGAAAGTCAGTTATCCTACGGTTTCACTTGCTTGTGGAGCATAAGGAATAATGTAGAGGACATTAGGAGAAGGAAAGGAAAAGTGAATTGGGGTAAACAGGAGGGGGAGATGAAGCATGAGATACTGTGGACTATGAGAAACAAACAGGATTTTGGAGACGAGGGGGTGAGGGAGATGGGTGAGCCTGGTGGTGGGTATTAAGGAGGGCACATACTGCGTGGAGCACTGAGTGTGGTGCATAAACAATGAATCTTGGAACACTGAAAAAAATTAAAAAAGAAAGTGTAAACAAAGGCTTTTCTTTATCTTTAATGTAAGCTGCCTATGAAACATAGATTCTGTGTTTTTATCAGATCTTTGATTACTTAAGGAACTGAGTCTTTGCTATTAAAAGAGCCAAGTGTTTTTACCACCGTGTGACTTTTCGTATATGTTAAATTTCATGGGAAGCATTGTGAAATAAGAAGTGATACTAAATTTTCTTTAGAGTATATTTGTATGAAATTCCTAAACCTGATGTGCCCTGATATTACGGTGTCAGTCATCATTTGAAAATGTCTCTCAAGGAAATAACCAAATTCTCTTGTCAATTGCTGAAATAAAGTCTCATCAGATCCTTAAAAAAAAACCCCAAAAAACAAAAAACAGCTCACCTACTGTGGAAATTGCTTTTCCTTATAGTTTTACCAATGAAGTGTATATATTAAATACTTCCAGGGTGCCTGGGTGGCTCAGTTGGTTGAGCCACTGCCTTCGGCTCAGGTCATGATCCTGGACTTCCAGGATCGAGTCCCGCATTGGGCTCCCAGCTTCTTGGGGAGTCTGCTTCTCCCTCTGACCTTCTCCTCTCTCATGCTCTCTCTCACTCATTCTCTCTCCAATAAATAAATAAAATCTTTAAAAAAAAATTCTAAATACTTCCAGGTCATTTTGCCAGTGTTTTTATAATCTTATGTAAAATAAATAACCAGTAAGTTAAAAAAAAAAAAAGTTGGACTCCTAACTGACTGAGATGCCCTGACACTTCAATTATTTTTTCCTTTTCATTATAACTAATAGTCCTCCTATGAACATTCTTACAGATATCTCCTTGTATGTAAGTTTCTGGTGATACCTAGAAGTATAGTTTCTGGGTCATAATATGTCTAACTAGATTCTCCTTTTTTTTTTTTTTAACATTTTATTTATTTATTTGATGCAGAGAGATCACAAGTAGGCAGAGAGGCAGGCAGATAGAGAGAGGAGGAAGCAGGCTCCCTGCCGAGCAGAGAGCCCAACGCGGGACTCGATCCCAGGACCCTGAGACCATGACCCGAGCCAACCCACTGAGCCACCCAGGTGCCCCTAGATTGTTCTTTTGAAGCACTTTATTCTAGGCTTCCATAATACTCCCCACTTATCTGGTTTTCACTTTGATAGGCCCAACATTCTCAGTCTCATTTTCTGGATCTTCATTCTCTATATTATATTATCCTAGGGCTTTTGTCCTTAGTTGTCTTCTCTCTACCCAGCTCCAGCTTTGATTTACTCTGATTTATCCCCCATGCTAATCCCGGGTTGATTTTTATCAAATGCAATCCAATCATATAACTACTTTGCTTAAAGTCCTTCAGAGGCTCCTGTCTGCCTATAAAGTCCAAGATCTGTTTCACCATTAAGCTCCCTAAGTATCTCAACTCCTACTCTTCTCCAAAGGATCCAGAAGATCATCTCTTCTTGTGGCTTTTTAATATTACCTGCTGGGCTTTTGATCATAGTATTTTTTCTCTTCACAGTTTTCTTTCCCTTTCCTCCTTACCTGCCTGGTAAACTTGTGCTCATTTTAAAAGATGACTTGATTTTCTCCTTTTCAGGGAGCCTTCTCCGACACATTTAGGCAGAAGTAAGAAATTCCTTCTTTCTGTTCTCCTGGCAGTTTATTCATTATCTCTTTTATAATACTTGATTCATTTATTCAACAAATCTTACTGTGTGCTAGAAACTGTTCTAGACATCAGGAATAGAAGAGTAAACAAGACAGGTCCTTATTTTTAGGAGTCTGTATTCCAGAGAGTACAGAAGAGAAACAAGTAAACACAATATCATTTTAGATTGTTCTAAGTGGCAGTAGGATAAACCTGACTCTGTGATGGAAAGCATGTTGTGCAGAGGGTGGGAGGATGGCGGGACACTTCAGATTCAGAGAGATGCCATTTGAGTTAAGATCTGAAAGGAAAAAAGGAGCCAGCCAAGCAGAGATCTGCGAGAGGAACCTTCTAGGCAAAAGGAACAGCAAGTACAAAGGACCTGGAGCTAGAATGAGTTTTGTTTCTCATAGTTCTGGAGGCCTAAAGTCTGAGATCAGAGCAATAGCATGGTTCCAGTGAGGTCCTCTTCCACACTGTAGACGGTCAACTTCTCCTTGGATCCTCGCGTGGCAGAATGAGAGAGAGGGAGCTTTGGGGCTTCTTTTTACAAGGGCACTGATTACCCTTATGACCTAATCACCTCCCAAAGGCCCCACCTCCACATATCATCACATTGGGATTAGATGTCCACATATGAATTTTGGTGGGACATAGTCATTCAGTCCACAACAGAGGTGAAGACAGATAATTTGGGAGCTACTAACTTGTCAAGATTATATTTTAAAGCTATGAGACAGGGGAAAATAATGTAGATGGAGAAGAGGGCCAAGGCTGGAGCTTTGGATGTTGCAGCATTGAGAGAATAAGTGGTGGGTAAGGAGGGCATCCTAGGAGACAACAGAAAGGAGTATTCATGGTGTTGTGCTGGCTAGATTTAGAACATGGTGAAGGCACGGATGTACCCCTGGATTTGACTCCCTGGAGGTCACCATGACCACAGCAAGAGCACCTGTAGGACATTCCAGTGGTCAGAAGGTAGAACTCATCTCCTTACTTTAATTAACTGCTTACATATATCTGTCTTCTCCTCTTGAGTGTGTGCTAGTCCTTTTTATTTCTAGGGCTTAGCATATAGTAGATGGTGAAAGACTGTTTGCCTACAGGTTTGAAGTTTACAGTGCAGTCTGAAGAATAACACATTGTTTCACCCTCATTTGGAATGCTTTCAGACCACTGGCCCTTCCCTCAAATTTCCGTCAGTTCAAGGAAAATAATAATGTGAATAACTACTTAAACAAAACATGCTGCAGAGGTGAATGCATCTTAACAGTGGTTCACAGTGCTTCCTGAAGTAGTCAAAGGTCTTGCTTTGGATTCAGAGGGCCTGCTGAAGCTCTGGCTCCATTACCTAGCCCAGCTGAAGGAAGGTGCCAGCGCAAGTCCTCCACACTCTGTGGATCGCAGCTCCTCACCTGTCATATGTGGATAATATTAACAAATTCCTCTTACAGGAATTTTTGTCAGCAGCAAATGAGCTAATGCACACAAGAGCCCTTTGCAAGTAAAAAGATACTCTGTAAGTGCTATTTTTGTAAAAAGAATTGGATTATCCATTTCATTACTGACTTATAAAATAGATTAGATCACAGTGTAATAAAATTTGTGTTTAGGCAGTGGCATATGAATGACAAGTTGGGGGAGGAAGTAGATCACTGGAAAATGTGATACTTTTCCAGAAATATATAGGAAATTAATTTCTTTTGGGTTTGTTCTCTTATCTTTCCCAGATAAATCTTTCACTTCTGTTAGAACTGAAGTGTAGACTCTTCTACTTTAAGATCTAGTGGGCTCTTTGCCCCGGTGTTGCATATATCTGCAAGAATAAAATGTAGTTAATATTGCTTGGGTTTTTTATTTTTTCCCATTTTTTCTATTACTATTATTTTTTTAATGAATACATGAACTCTAGTTGACACATTTTTTTCTTGGTGACTACTCATTTCACTTTGGTTCTAGGGTAAAAATCATGGTAAGAAACTCCGAAATTACTATGCAGCCAACAGCTGTCCTCCTCCTGCCAGAATGAGCAATGTGGTGGAACCTGTGGCTACTCCAGCTGTTCCCGTCCCTCCGCAGGTGAGACACACATATCAGGGTGGGAGTTGTCCTCTGCACACATGCTCATGGATGAAGTTTGTCATCCAGAGGCCCGTCAAGGTACAGTTGGGCAAATACTCCTACAAGGTTCTACTTGGCACTTTTAACTCCTCAAACTGTAGTGCAGTGTTTAAAGCATGCCAACATGCATGACCTTGAGATTTCTCGTTGGCTTTGGTTGTGATGCATGAAATGAAGAAGGAAATATTGTTACATATGGCTTTTTCTTGGCATGTCTTAGAATTCTGGGTTAAATGACCCTGGATGTCTAGACTCTGCCCTGAATGAAAAGAGAGGTTTTCAGTATTTATTTCTTTATTGTAGTTAATCCCATTTACTTTATAATTTGCCTTCCAGCAAGGTCAGTTTTTTGAGATTGCCCCTTTCTTCACACTATGGAGAGAACCTGTATAAACTTTTTCTGGACTTTTAATATAATGACACACTTGAGATTCACATTCCTTTCACTGGTAGATAAAGCAGATGTTTTAGGCAAGATAATGCTGTACTTTAATAGCCTCTGAAATATGGATTGTATTCCTTAATCTGTTTTTGTCCATAGAACAATACATGGTCATAAATAATAATAGCTCTAATCAAGTATTTACTATGCCAGGCACTCTGCTAAGCACTTTTCTTACATTACTTCGTTCAGGGCTGGGACTAAGGTGAGATGAGGGATGCCCTTGACTGAGGCACAAATTTGAGAGGGAGCCAAAAAAGTAATGAAGATAAATATTTTAATGTACTACTTTAAAATTCCAAATGAATCCAAAAAAAGTCAGTGGTAAACGAAATGTCAAAAACTTAAAGCTGGGTAAGTATTACAGATTCTCCTTTTGCCTCAGGCTGCAGTATAGCTTGGCATGGCACTGTGACTGGTTCTGTCTTTATTTAAAATTTTGATATTTTGTTTATGATGATTTCTTATATTAGGTTTGATTTATATAATTGTTCCATTAACATATTATTTTATCTTGATTATTGAGTTTTTTGATGCACCCTTAAATTTTATGCCCATGGAAAATGCTTGCCTTGCCTTAATCTAGTCCTGGGCCCTAAACTTCATTTCATGCTTCCAAGAACTTAAGAGGTATTGACTTGACTACTCCGAGTATAATTCATGGGCTAGCACCATTTGTCTCACCTGGAAGTTTATTAGAAGCTCAGAGAAGCCAAGTAACTTGTCCATGGTGTTATGTGTTTTGTGAAGTGGTGGAATAAGAATTTCTTTCGACCTTGGACCTCTGCTCCTAACCGCCATGGTGTAATTTTACCTTCCCTAATGTCAGTTTTCCAGTCTTTAAAACATGGATGGCAATACCAGCTTTTCCTCCATCCTCACGAATTTGTGGGGTAAATGAGAGAGGATAAAAACAGAATCAAAGAAGAGAAAAATACCCAGACAGATCTTCAGGCCGAGAAGTTTTCAGGGTCCTGATTCTTGCTCTGGACAGGACAGCCGCTCCCAGCTTGGGACAGTTTTCAGCTTGCTCCCCCTCCTTGAGGGAACCTCCAGAGCCTTCTTTCCTAGCATAGCCCTTTGTGATTTTTGGAGACTGCTCTTCTGTCCCCCAGAAAATCTTCCCATGCTGGTGAAACCGTACAGTTTCCTTCAGCTGGTCCTGACAGGATATGCTTCCAGACTCTTTATTAGGTATTTTATTCTCCTCTAGCCCAAATTTAGTTTGTCTTTTTTTGTTTATCCAACAGTATTTATTGAGTACATACTATCTTCCAGGCACTGTGTTAGGTTTCTCTGAACTCATTTCTCAGCCTGAATACGGTTGCCTGTATCTGCTGGTTATTTTTCCTTACTTATATTATATCCATAGCTAATTTGTAGACTTTGTGGGGGACAGAGGCTCATTTGTAAATATACATCTGCTTATCCCTTCTGCATTAGGTAGCAAGCCCTATAAACAGTAGGCATTCATTAAATGCTCGTTGATGGATTCTGGAAGGACTTGATCTTTCTGGTAATGTGATTTTAGGGTTTTCCTATACTGCCCTGAATCTTCTGTGCTTCTTTTAAAAAATTTCTCCATGGAGATAGCAACAAGCCATTAATAGGTTTGGTACAAAGGTGATTGTAATACAAAACCATGATTATCTCCCAGCCTTTTTCCTTTGTTGTTGTTGTTTTTCTGGAATGAATTACATCCTCTCCTTATAAAGCTGAGTGCTTGTGGTCATACCATAACCTTTGGTTATCTTCCAACTCTTAGGAACTTTGAGGGGAAGGAGGGCAGAAGCTCCACATTTTTTTAACTTTGTCTCTTGTGTCTTTGATGTCAGATGGGCTCCTTTAAGCCTGGAGGCAGAGTGATCCTGGCCACGGAGAATGATTACTGTAAGCTTTGTGATGCCTCCTTTAGTTCTCCGGCTGTGGCTCAGGCTCACTATCAAGGGAAGAATCACGCCAAGAGGCTGCGGCTGGCGGAAGCTCAGAGTAACTCATTCTCGTAGGTATTGCCATTTTCTCTCAGGCCAAAATGTTGTGTAAGACTGTCTTTAGAGAAAAAGAGTTGAAAGGGATCCTTGTTTAGAAGTCTCACACTTTTCAAATTTCTTTTCTTCAGGGAGTCCTCAGAGGCCGGTCAGCGGCGGACCCGGAAAGAAGGGAATGAGTATAAGATGATGCCTAATAGGAGGAATATGTATACAGTACAGAATAATTCAGGTACCTTGGCCACATTCTGGAAGTGGTCTTATTTCCTTTAATGATAATAGCCCTGAGAATTTGCAGTTAGCTAATTGTTCATTTGTCTAGTGGCTTTTCAATCTGGTGTTTATTTCAGGTCTTTATTTATTTATTTTCTGTGTAGTTTATTATTTATTTTGATTTTAAATTATAGTTGATGTTTTAAGGCCTTTTTTTTTTTCCAAGACTTTATTTTTATTTATTTATTTGACAGAGATCACAACTAGGCAGAGAGGCAGGCAGAGAGAGAGAGAGAGAGAGAGGAAGGGAAGCAGGCTCCCTGCTGAGCAGAGAGCCTGATGCGGGGCTCGATGCGGGGCTCGATGCGGGGCTCGATCCCAGGATCCTGGGATCATGACCTGAGCCGAAGGCAGAGGCTTTAACCCACTGAGCCACCCAGGCGTCCCTGTTTTAAGATCTTTGATCATAGTCCCTTTACACTGCTTCTGGTGATTGCCAGCCGAAAAAAGTAAAATGCGTTATAAAAATGGGCTACTTGGTTTAAAGTTGTGTCCTGTTAAATCTCCATTTGTTGGGGAAAATAAAAAAGATTGAGCAGTGGCTTTAAACTTGGGGGAGTTTTTACAAAATAAACATGCCTGAACCATGACTTAGAGATATTTAGTCAGTAAATTCGGAGTGGGACCCAGACATATGTGTGTTTTAGAAATGCTTCCTCAGTGATTCTCATATACACCTTCAGTTCAGAACTGCTGCATTATAGGAATGTTTTCTGCATTTTCTGATTATCTCCAGGAAGGAGAGTAGGACTGAATAGTCCTTTATCCTCCCCCATCACAGCTTCCAATGCACACATATACTAGGAGAGGTAACTCATGGGAACAGTAGGTCAAATGAAAAACAAAAACATTCATTGGAAAGGCAAGATAAACAGAAAAAGGGACATAGAGAAAGCATAATGTACTATGATTAATAAAAGTTGAAACATACATCAGTGATTATAGTAAGTATAAATTTATTGAAGTCCCAGTTAAAAGACAAAGATTACAAGATTGGATTAAAAAAATTCAGCTGAGAGGGGCACCTGGGTGGCTCAGTCAGTTAAGCGGCTGCCTTCCGCTCAGGTCATGATCCCAGGGTCCTGGGATTGAGTCCCGAATTGGGCTCCCTGCTCAGCAGGGAGTCTTCTTCTCCCTCTCCCTCTGCCTGCTGCTCTGCATACTTGTATGCTCTCTCTCTGTCAAATAAATAAATAAAAAAATCTAAAAAAAAAAAAAAATTCAGCTGAGAGTCACCTGGGTGGCTTAGTTGATTAAGTGTCTGCCTTAGGCTCAGATCATGATCCCAGGGTTCATGGGATGGAGTCCCACATTAGGCTCATTGCTCAGCAGGGAGTCTGCTACTCCCTCTGTCTCTGCTCCCCACTGCTTATGCTCTCTCTTTCTCTGTCAAATAAATAAATAAAATCTTTAAGAAAAAAAAGTTCAGCTAAGATGTAATGAGCACTGGGTGTCACGTAAGACTGATGATTCACTGAACTCTACCTCTGAAACTAATAATACTCTATATGTTAATTGAATTTAAACTAAAAGAATTTAAGAAAGAAAATAAGAAAATAGATAAAATAAAAAATTTAGCTGAACTGAAGGAAGCTGAGATAACTGCATTAATATTAGGTAAAATAAACCTTAGGACAGAGGGCAGTTTGGACTGTTTTCTGGGCAGAGTACAATTAAATGAGGGATCAATAACAAAAAATATATTTAAAAAACCCTACAAAATTTCCATTTGTTTGGAAATTTTTAAACACTTCCAAATAACTCTGGATCAAAGAAGAAATCATACTGGAAATTAAAAATTCCTTTTTAAAAAGATTTTATGTATGGGGCGCCTGGGTGGTTCAGTGGGTTAAGCCGCTGCCTTCGGCTCAGGTCATGGTCTCAGGATCCTGGGATCAAACCCCACATCGGGCTCTCTGCTCAGCAGGGAGCCTGCTTCCCTCTCTCTCTCTCTGCCTGCCTCTCTGTCTACTTGTGATCTCTGTCTGTCAAATAAATAAATAAAATCTTAAAAAAAAAGATTTTATGTATTTGAGAGTGATTGAGAGAGAGCACTGTGCATGAGCAGTGGGAGAGGGGCAGAGAAAGATGAAGAGGCAGACTCCCTGCTGAGCAGGAAGCCGGAGGCTCTTTGGGACTTGATCTGTAGTCCCTGGGATCTTGACTTGAGCCTGAGCCAAAGGCAGATTCTTATTCTTAACCAACTGAGCCACCCAGGTACCTGGAAATAAAAATTCTTAAAATCAAACAGTAATAAAAATATATTAAATTTTGTAGGATACAGTGAAAGTAATATTTTGAGAAAAGTCTTAAATATTTATTATAGTAGAAAAGAAAGCAGAAAACTAATAAGCGATGGTCCAACTTAAGAATTCAGTTATATAACTGGGTATTTATTTACCCAAAGAAAACAAAAACACTGTTTTGAAAAGATATATGCAGTCCTGTGTTAATTTCAATGTTATTTACAATAGCCAAGATATGGAAGCAACCCAAGTATCCCTTGATAGATGAATGGATAAAGATGTGGTGTGTGCACATGTGTATACACACACACAGACACAAACACAGACACACACACACACACATACTATGGAATATTATTCAGTCATAAAAATGAATGAGATCTTGCTATTTGCAACAACATGGATGGACCTAGAGGGTATTGTGCTAAGTAAATACAGAGAACCCTAGGCGAGGGGCAGGTGGCTTTGGCAAAACAGTGAAGGGGAATGGGAGATACAGGCTTCCAGTTACGGAGTGAATAAGTCAGGGGATCAAAGATACAGCATAGGGAATATAGTTGGTGGAACTATAATAGTGTTGCATGGTGACAGCTGGACTGTACCTGTGGTGAGCATAGCATAATGTATAGAGTTGTGCAGTCCCTGTGTCATACACCGGAAACTAATGTAACAGTGTGTGTCAACTATGCTTCAATAAAAACAAACAATAACCCCCAAACCTAAAATACATTAGTTATAATTTGATTTGCCTATAAATAGGTTACATTGAATATTTTGAATGCTGAAGGAGAATTTATTCAGGTAATTATAGATTAGCTTTTTTTTTTTAATGCAATAGGCCAGTAAATTCATAGTTAAAAAAAAGAAGTCAGTTATGTAAAAAGAAAAAAAATTACCGATAATTCCGCCAACATTTTTGTATATGTTAGTATGTCATTCCCATCTCTATATATATTCTTTGAAATAGAAATGTGATTATACTCACAAAAAAAACTGAGGGTTGCTGGGGGGAGGGGGGTTGGGAGAGGGGGGTGGGGTTATGGACATTGAGGAGGGTATGTGCTATGGTGAGTGCTGTGAAGTGTGTAAACCTGGCGATTCACAGACCTGTACCCCTGGGGATAAAAATATATTATATGTTTATAAAAAATAAAAAATTAAAAAAAAAGAAATGTGATTATATTTTGTGATATTCTTGTTTCACTTAATAGCATATTATAATCACATTTTCATGTAACCAAAGAAAATCAAAGAGTTTTTATTACTTACAGTGACTGAATGGTTTTCTGTTGCATTCATTACCATAATTTTTCAAATCATCTATTTGTTCTCCTTTTCCCACATCCTCCCATAAAAACTTGTATGCACACTGATGAAATAATATCCTTGTTGATAAATCTCCATACAAAAATTCTCAGTGTTTTCTTAGGATAATTCTTAGAAGTAGAATTTTTGGATTAAAAAGTTAGTATAATGATAAAACTTTTCATATAATGTTTGGAAGTTAAACAATTTTTACAATTTTACTTACTTTTTACAGACATTGTCATTTGGAGCTGGGGTTTGGCTCTACAGTAACCTTTCTGACAGTAGTTGGAGGAATCATTTCGCTTCTTAGATTGAACGTGTATAAAATTGTAATTTAAAAAAATCTATTAATTTTGCATTCATTTAAAGCTGAGAGTGAATTTTATAATTTGAGCTTAGGATGACATATTATAGTGATAATCAGACTGTCATCATTTATGTAGTGAATATTTTGAAGTGAATCCATTTTTATCTCTTGCTTTAGCAGGTCCTTACTTCAATCCCCGCTCTCGGCAGAGAATTCCACGTGATCTGGCCATGTGTGTTACCCCAAGTGGCCAGTTTTACTGCTCCATGTGTAATGTTGGGGCTGGTGAGGAGATGGAGTTCCGGCAGCATTTAGAGAGCAAGCAACATAAAAGCAAGGTGTCTGAACAGCGGTACAGAAATGAGATGGAGAATCTGGGATATGTATAGTGGTTGTTGTATTCAGATAGAGCAGCTTTTCCTGCCTGTTGTTTGCCTTCTGTCAACATGCCCTGCTTTTGTGGTCCTTTTGATCTGAGTATATTCCTCTGCTTAATGTTAATACGTGTAACCTGCAGTGGTGTACCATGAGCTATCAAGACTGGGGAAGGAAAAGAATGTGCTTCTTAGGTCATGATGCGTTTTCAGGTCAGTTGTGTTGAGCTACTTAGAGCATGTGACCTACCTACCCCACGAGAAATAACTTTTTATCTTGACCAAGTTCTGGTCAACTAGTAGCCTGATCACTTAGAGCTTTAACTATTTAAAAATTTAAAATTTTCACCTTCTTTTGCAGTTTTAGTTTTACGTACTGTTAAGTAAAGAATTTTATTGAGTTCTTACTTCAGATAATGGTAAAAACAGGTAAGCAGAGATTCTGGTTTCCCAAGGTTTCTTTGGAACCACCTCAACACAATGCCTTGCCAGTAGGATATATGAATATAAACCGGATTAGGGTCTTTCCCAGGACAATGTTTTCCCCTTGTCTTCCCATTGTTGATTGAATATAGATTTTCTTGGATTTATACACTTCCAGTGTGCTTGTAGACTTCCCAACTGTGAAATTTCATTTCCACTTGTGGATTTTACACATTTAAATGCCATCTTCTTCCTTCCTTCCCCCTTCCCCCACCCCACCTCAGTTGAATTAGCTTGTTTAATGAGCTCATTTTCATGCCCCAGCTATTTTGTGGGCTCTCCAAGCCCCCTGTTCCAATATTCAATGTGTTTAAGATAGATATGCTATTTTTTTAAAAAATATTTTTCAGATGGTTTTGAGAAATGTAAAGATGTGTTTGATTTTTTGATTTAGAGTTATTCACTGGTAATAATCTACTTATATGACAATCTCGATTGTTAAGTTCAGATCTCTTGATATTTGTTTTGGGAGACTTTTTCGATAAACTGATCCTTATGGTTTACTTATGTTCTTTCCTGTCTTACCCGTTGGTTGGCTACCCTGAAAAATACTACTACCTTATTATTTTATAGATAGAGAGGATTAAAAAAAAAGTTAACCAAATTTTAGTTTCATAATATCCAGTAGTAAAATACATGAACTTCAGTTCTTTGTAATTCAGCTTCCTTAAAGGTTGTGGAGATACATTATGGATTACTTTGGTATCTGATCATTTTAACAGTATTATTATTTGGTTTTGGTTTTTAAAATAAGAAGCTCTAGTGTATGGCTAGATAAACTAATGGAGTACTCTATGAACTTTAATTAGTTGTATTTTATCTACTTACTGTATTTACATGGATAAGACTGGTGCTCATCCATACTTTTTTTTAGAAGGCCACATTCACCAGGAAGTTTATAATGAGCAGTATCTTTGCACTATGGTCAATTCACATTTGATTGCTTTAATTAATAATTAAAAATAAAACTCCTATTTTTCCTTGAGAATTCTATAGGCAAAGAGATGGGGAGAAGGAAATTACAATCATCATTCCTTGCCTTTAATCCTTATGAACAATTTTTGAGCAATGTAGATCTGTATTTAAAATTCAGTTTTGGGATAACCACTGGTACAATTATCAACTTGTTCTTCTGTTGAAGTGGTGGTTTTTTGAAAAATAGAATTGTTTAGTACATTTTTTTCCCTCCCAGAAACAGGAGAATGAAATAACATTATTGAGATTCTATCTAGACCTGTGACTCTGAGCATAATAATCCTTTTATACAATTGATTAGTTTAGACCAATTTAGAACTTATTTTATTGGTCAGTAGGTTACTCATATTGCTGCTAAGTATCATTTTTGGGTAGAATTTAATATTATAGTGCTGGCCACTTAGTTCTTTAATTATTTAAAAACTTTATTTTCCTCCCTTTCTCTGTATGTCTGTGTACATATAGACATACATACATATATGTATGTGTATATAAGTACATATATACACACATACATATATATTTATGTGATACCATAGAGAAGATTTCATTGGATCCTTATTTCAGGTAATAGTAGAAGATCGTGGATAAGAATTTACAATTTGTAAAAGTGGCATTTATCCACTTTCAGTTTTTCCTTTGCAAATAAAATTGAAGGATTTTCCCCACTCTCCCCACTTAATAATTTCATTACATATATACAAAAAGCAGTGGACTTAAAGGCCTTGATGTCTTTCCTGGCCTTGCATATTCAGGTTTCCAGTCTCCCAGTGCCCTTAATGGATGTTATGAATGCATAAACGCATTTTCTTTAAAGAAAAAAGTTAGATTTATAGTGTTATTTCTTACTTGCTCTGTTTCTTTGCACTAAAGAAGAGCTATGTGTTTGTTTTATATGACACTTTAGATACCATATTGCCTACAATAACTCGGTTTGCTCCTTAATTTCCAAACTGTAGGAAGTTGATAACTTCCATGATCATTTATAGAGGTTACCTACACATCCAAAAAAAGAGAAAATCACAGATCTCTATGACAGTGGATTGTTTTGGGGTTGTTACCTTGCAACATTCTCCTGTGCTCCATAGGTGAAGCAAAGGTGACAGAGGTTGTCAAAAAGGAAATACCTAAATAAATATATCTCTGTATGGTACAATTTCTCATCTTGATGCATTCCTATTAGACAGTGTTTTTTCCCTGTCAAAGAAGGCCGTCGTTACTACCACAGTCAGTGATACGTGATCTCTGTTGGTTTCCTTTTGTGAAGTCCAGTCCTGCTTTGTAATCTGCTCTAGAATCTGCACCCTGTGCTGCCCAAGAGTCATGTTAGTATCTTTGTATATGCTGTATACAAGGACGGACAGAGGCCTAAACAGCGGAAGACCTTTAGTTGAGTCAGTAGATTTCAGTAATCATCTGCAAGAAGAACTCATAGCATCAAAGTCTCTTTGTGAGTATCTTTCTGTAAGTTGTCATTTGAAGTCAATGTTAGAAGATAACAATTAGAAACTCTTCTTAAGATATCGAGGGCAAGAAGTTGTAAAGGAAAAATTCCATGTTCCAATTAAAAGATTGGACTGCCTATGCCTTTGAAGTGTTTTTTTCAAAAAGTTAAGCTGCAAAACAAAGTGTGCCATGTAAATCCTTTTGGCTCTACACTGAACAGAAAATACTTTGTTGGTCTTGTCTTTGTATATCATGTACTACAACCTGTAAATATGTGCATGTTTTTTATTACATTTGTCTGCTTGTCTCTTATTGCACTGAATTCTGCAAGATGAATATTTTATACCATTCATTTAGAAAAAGTTCTTTCTCCAACTCTTCTTCATTATTTCCCCTCCTAATGAGTTGGTAAACTTAGAAAACCATTTAAGATTTTTTGAAACCCTGAGATTGAGTGAAGAATCATGGCCGCCTGAGACCATCCTTATGTTCCTCTGACTTAACACAGCTGAAGGGAAGCATGAGATCTTCCTTCCACCTTATTTTACAGAATTGATATGCTTGTTTATAGCTGCTTGTCTACACTTTCAATGAGGGGAATGGGAAAATACATGTTTCGTGTTTATAAATAAACACGAAACATATATTTGCTTTAATCTTCCTCTGTAGATAGATTCTAAGGATTAGCAGTGGGATTTATGATTCCTTCACTCCTGAATTGGGTGGGACCCTGAGCAATGACAGTTTGAGGACTGTCCAGTGACCTGTGTAATACAAGTCTTGCTTGTCAGGGGAGACATGTAATTTTGGGCATGGTATCCTCTACAGAGAGGCCTAGGGATGGTGTATTTGGAACTTGTTTTGTTTCCTTAATATTGGAATGTAGACTGAAAGTGCTCTCTAAAGAACTTGGTGAGGCATATATAAGACAATAGAATTTCTTTAGGAATATAAATATTTTGTCAATAGAGACAAAAGTTTAATGTAGGCTTTTGAACAAATGCTTAAAAAATACTCCACCTTAACAACTATTTTTTTTTTTTTTTTTAACCAGCCAAATTACTATTCAGGAGTTTCATACATAATAGTGTTTTGTTGTTGCTTTTGTTTTTTGGGGGTTTTTCTTTGTAGACCTCTATCATCATAGTTACTAGCAGTCTTTCTGAGTGGACAAATAGCTGTGTAAATAGTTTCTCATATGACGTTTCTACTGATAGGTGTTTGACTTTTTCTTCCCAGTGTGAATGGGAGGGTCATTTGTAAACTCCCTTTCTGGGTAGCTACCAAAAAGTAAATACTGGCTTATGGTCCCATGTGACCCTGTCTCCATTAAGCCCAGAATATGAGTGCCTTTAGCAAGTTTTAGCATTTCACAGAGAGAAAAGATGATAGAATTATTGCCATTAATCACAATTCATAAAACAGAAGCTTGGAATAGCGAAGGTCTGTGTGAATTCTGCATTCTGCATTTTATTTATTTATTTATTTTTGGCTTAATGAGATTTCAATTTGATACTGAGTAATACTGTTAACATTGTTGATAAGGAACCACACACCCTGAAAATAAATCCAGTTGTCCCAAGCTAACAGTAGTCATAGATTATTCTTGACCTTGATCTATGTTGCATTTATATTTAATGAGTAGTAGTGTGGTGGATTGGAAGGGCTTGATTTACACTGATGTTTGGAAAAATTTTATTCCAGTGCTCTTTTCAAAACTTGTCTATTCTGTAGAGAGAAGAGAATTACTTACTTGCAAATGAGGTGTGTGAAGAAGAGACTATCTTGTTCACAATACTTACCAATTGTGTTAGTTCATCTCTATGTTAAAGAAAGGATCTTCAGAAATTGGGTTTGAGGCCTTAAGCAAAAATTCTCCCTTCAGTTAATTACAATTCTAAATTGCCTGAGTCTTTAAAACACACTGCTAAATTAACTTTATTGTAGAAATAGTAAAATTTTCCTCAATATTTTATTATGAAAAATTTTAAACATACATTGAAGTTAAAAAATTTTTACAGTATATCTACCAGTAAATTATGCCATTAACACTTTACTAGGTTTGAATTACCACCTGTCTGTCTGTCCCTCTATCCGTCCATCCGTGGAGTTTTTAAAAAATATATATTTCAGCATAAATTTCAGACCATATTCTCCCTTAAACACTTCAGCATAGGTGTTGTTAACTAGAGTTTATTATCTGTTTGAATATTGCTATCTTTTAAAAAGCAGTGTATGAAGTTGATAACTGGAACCAAATAACATACATTGTTTTCTCTTGTGGACTTTAGCCTTCTGGTTTCTGTTTTTATGTGTGCTTAGCGTGGAGGAAAACCACTCCTTTCCAACCTCAAGTTTTCTGGTGTTGGTCATTTTAAATGCTTAGTTGTCACACCTTTTAAAGTTCCATAAGAATTTTTTCTTTATCCCTCTTCTATAGCGTATTTTTGCTGAACTATGCAGCCTCTTTAAAATAACTGTAAATTACGGATTGAGGTTTATTAAATCACCTTATACCTCATTTCATTCTATTGCTGCTTTTCTCCATGAAACCACATCTCTGTCATTACTTTCACCTGCTCTACCAGAACATAGAGAAGTGGAGACAGTCAAACCCATAGATGATTAGCTATTTTAGACAACTCGAGAAGAACAGATTTCACAGTTGCGAAAGTCAAAACCATTAACTTATCTAAAGCCTTTGAATTCCCTGAGTGTTGTCATTGCCCATGCTTCCTCTAGCCATAATTAACAGGATTGAAAATGATTGTACTGTACAATGAGTTGTTGAAATTGTGAGCCTTAGTAATCATCTTTAGCTTTACTCTAGTACTGTTTAGAAAAAAAAAATTTTTGACATATGCCTTTATTTTTATGCCAATTTTTTGTGGGCAAAATCTGAAGAATTTAAGTGACTTGCTCCAGGTAATGAAGATTCAATGGATAAGTCGGAATTGAAACTTCACTGTTCCTGAGTCATATTCTTGTGCTTGTATGATAAGCATCATGGCTTCCAAGATAACTGAACATTCCTTTGGGGACCTTAAAATGAAAGTATGATTTTTTACTAACTAAACTTTCATTTTTAGGCATTTCACAATTCTTTGAATTTGAAGATTTTTTTTCATGGTCATGCTCCTCATTAAGCCAATGTAATTGCTAAAAACCTCACTTCACTGTTAATACCAACGAATAATGCAGGTTTTATCAGATTTCTTTTTGCATTTAAATAACCTTCATGATTACTCTTTTTCTAGTTAAGTGCTTAAGTGACCCCCTCACTAGTGAAAATAAATGTTCTATATCATTGATTCAATGTATATTCTCTACATGATATATTTTTTTAAGGAAAAGTAACCCCATATGTCAGGATGAGTGATATTCTAGGGCAAAGCACATATAAAGTTTATTTCTACTCTGCAAATCTGGCATTTACAGGAACAAAACTCTTTTAGAGTGGCTGGTCATTGTTTTGCCTTCTTTTGGTACTTGAGCACCTTGCTGTGGTTTTGTAAATCAGTGTGTCATTTTGTAAGAATTCATGTTGATTCTGTGTTAATTGGTATTCACCTTGTGGTATCCTCGGCTGACTGTAATAATTTAATTTGGGTATGGTGTGTCTGCTTTGAGATGCCTTACTAGAGCATGTCAGATTCTGCTCTGAAGCATTCCATGTATCTGCTAGGGCAATGAGTTGCCTCTCTTGGATGTATGCTCTAGATCCAGAAGCAAAACTGATTTTGCTTTCACTGTTAAGGTTGCATTTTTAGTGTAGTTAATGTTTTAAATTAGAGAATAAAATCACTTTAAAAAAAAAGGGAGACTCTAGAACCCTTCATTTAATGGCATGGCAAATTTTTAAAACCGCTTTTGCTATTTCACTAGAAAAATATCTAGTAAAGGATATAGCTAAAAACCGCCAGCCAGAACTGTATGAAATTGGGGTTGTTTCCTAAAATCTTTTCTAAATGTCATACAGGGGTTTAACATCTGTGTGTATTGTTGGGGCTAAGTGTCAGTCACCCACTTCGGAAATCTGTTTGCATTCTGGGGCGATAAAATGGCAAAAGTGTCATGGGATTAAAACCAATCAACTGTGAATTGTGAGATTGAAATTGCTTTTTTTGGTTTTATTTTCTTCAGCATATTGAAAATAGAAACCCAAAAGTTATTTAAAATTTACACTGCTTATGTTGATGGCTCATTTTGGCTGTGTATCCTCACTTATGTACTGATTTCTGATAAAAGCTTGACATTATTGTAACAGGTATTTTGTGTTCAATTTAATAAAACAGTTTCTGAGTCTTGTCTGCACATTGTTTGGTTCTGAGTTGGAGATCCTGGGGGAAAAAGATACACTGTCTGCAATGATGTGTTATTTTCAGTGCCCACCTTCGGTGGCTGTATGTTCAGTATTCATCAGTCTGCACATGATCTGCCAAGGACTTCTTGAATTTGTGCAGAGTATTGTCAACTCCTGGGCTTGCAGTAGACTTGACCAAACTGCTCACACTACTTCTTCCCTACATCACTGGAGTTAGCCTGAGACTGGAGCAGTTTCTCTATTTTATGGATACATTTAAAATTTATCTTCCTTTCAGATTCTGAGAAGTTTTGGGTTTAGCAGGACCATAATCACTGCTTCTGAAAATAAACACATATGAAAAGCCATCTACCCATTCATCTTCTTGGTGTTTCACATATAAAAATACTCTTATAATTGGGCGCCTGGGTGGCTCAGTGGGTTAAACCTCTGCCTTTGGCTCAGGTCATGATCTCAGGGTCCTGGGATCGAGTCCCGCATCAGGCTCTCTGCTCAGTGGGGAGCCTGCTTCCCTCTCTCTCTCTGCCTGCCTCTCTGCCTACTTGTGATCTCTCTCTGTGTGTCAAATAAATAAATAAAATCTTTTAAAATACTCATAATTAGCTTATATGTACAATATATTACTGGGTTATGGTCACTTAAGAACTCTGGTTTACTCAGTGCAATGTGCTTTTGAATTTAAATGCTCATTTTAAAAAGTAGATTATAAGCCTGGAAGGTGCTGTTTTGGTTTGTTTAATCAGGGTGCGAGACATATACACTTATTGTTGTGGAAAAAATTCTTGTCTGCACAAAAAAAAAGTTTCTGAATGAACTGAGTAGATCACATTGAATCTGTCTGTGTGTTGTAAAAATACTCAAGGCAGCACGTTTTATTAAATAATCTTTAAGATATTTTTAGCTTGAAAGAAAGCTATGATAATGGGCATCAAAAAATAGAATCATAAACCACTAAGCTTTTCAGCTTTTCTTTCTTCAGGCATTTCTGAAGCTTATTTGTTGGAAATTTATTCAAGATCAATTGCTGGGTGTTACCTTTTAAAACTACCTGTATGTGAAGGACTAGCAATGAAATTTCCCAGTCTTATAAATTAATATAAGATTGTAAAAAGATGAGAAGTAGATACTTTTGTGATGAGTTTTAAGATATTTACCATCTGAGTTGAGACTTAACCCACAAAGTTTTATACCTTCTTATGGGACATTCATGAACTGTTGAAATTTGGGAACTTACAAAAAGATGAAGACAGGCAGCAATTGTACGCTTTAAAAGAATTATTTAGTAGGGATGTGATTATGAATCTTACCCCCACCCCCCTACCACCTAAAAATGCACTCCATGGTGTAGATGCATATGTGTACCTATGTGTCAGAGAAAGAGAGATGAAGATAGATGGACACAGAGAGAAATGTGTAAGGAAGAAGTGTGTGGAAGTATGTTGTATGTGTGTTGTAATGAAGTATGTCCGAAGGAACAGATGTATGTTTGCCACTGGACAAAACCGGCTTCATTGTAGGAGTCTGTAACATCCACTTGGGACTTTGGTTGTCTTTAAGTATGTAATTAGAGCTTCAAATATGCTTTGGCTGAGGGCCATCCCTCCAGACAGGAACAAGATGTCTTTCATACTAGCTTTAATTTTTAATCTTTACTAATGCCAGAGGCTCTTCTCTCCCTGTTTTTCAGAAATCGCTTACTGGGTTATGGACTTTGACCAAAGGTATCTAGTGCCACCATGTGGACTCTTTAAATCTTACAGTTGGCAATTCGAATGTGGTTGGTACCATACCTCGGAAGCAGGATCCTTGGCTAAAAACCACCTAGTGGAGGAGAGATTTTAATCCATAAAGCAAGGGCAGAAATCTTGTCTTTAGGATAACAAGGAGTGTATTCTTTTACACCTTTGGCTACTAAAGTAGGCCGAATGGGAAAAGCGATGGATTGGGAATCAGAATACATACATATACATATACATACACTTATATGTGTGTATGTGTATGATTTTTTGTGATTTTAAAAAATGTCTATTTTGCTTTAAAAGAATCCATTATCCATGCACTTTCGGGTATGTGAACAGCAAACATGGAAACTGAATAGGAATAATTGTCAACAAAATGAAAAAAAACGAAAATTGGAAGTAAAGGACAAGAAAAATCTCTTATCAAAGGAAATTCTTAAAAATAAAAATTATGTAAAAATGGCAAATATTACCATATATGTGGAAATGATGCTGACAATATAAAAACTAAACTACAAAATGCAAAATATAAAAAGTTTTCCCAAACATAATTCATCTTGGGGAAAGCATGTTTTCTGCTTCAATAAGTTGGCAATACAGTAGACATATTTTTAAGTCTTCTGTTAAATATTTTGAACATTTACAGAAAGTGTGCACTAGGATAACAGGCCAGTTCTGTCAACCGTGTGCTCCTGGGCATGCCACTTAGCTGTTCAGTTATTCTGAATTGTGGTGTTAAGTGTGCATTCCAGTTATTTCTTTTCATCTTTCTCAGCAGTATGGATGACTTAGAGAATTATTCTTCTTTAAAAACTGGTTGAGTTTTTTTGACTAGTTAGGCCCTGAGCTCACCTCTGACCTCATGCTCCCATGTTTTCCTCCCCAGAAGTGATGGCACTTACCAGTTTCTTAGGTATTTTCCAGAGATACTCGATGCAGTATGAAGGATGGCATTGCATTCACTAATACTTCTGGTGACCAGTGTGCCTGGGCAAATATTCCATACCAGCACATGTGGACCTTATTTTTGACTGTATGGTATTCCTCCATATGATTTCCAAAATATATTTTACTGGTCCTTCTTTGATTGGTCTTCCTTGTTTTTTTTTTTTTTTAAACTGAAAGCTTTAAAAAGTTGTGGTGAAATGTACACAATATAAAATTTATCATTTTAACCATTTTTAAGTCTGCAGTTCAGTGGCATGAAGTACATTCACACTGCTGGGCATTGTCACCACCAACCATTTCCAAGCCTTTTTTCACCTTCTCACACTGAAACCCCATAACCCACTGAACAATGGCACCCATTTCTCCCTCTCTCCAGCCCCATGGTAACCACCATTCTACTGTCTGTATGAGTTTACTACTCCAGGTACCTCATATAAGTGGGAGTGTACAGTATTTGTCATCTTGTGACTGGTTTATTTTATTTAGCATAATACCTCCAATGTTCATATAGTAGCATATATGACAATTTTCTTCCTTTTAAGTCTGAGTAATACTCAAATGTATGCACATAACCACATTTTGTTTATTCATTCATCTCTCAATGTACATTTGGGCTGCCTCACCTTTTGGCTATTGTGAATAATGCTGCTTTGAATATAGCATTTATGTATTTATGTATATAAATTAAAAACTTTTTAAAAGTTAGAAATTATTTCAAAGATGCAAAGTATAGAAGATAACAAAACAGACATACAGGTGCTCACCGCCAAGCTCCCGAGCACCATCAGATCCTAGCATTTTGCTGTATGCTGTTATTTTTAGAAGAAATAAAACATGATTTCAGCTGAAACCCACTGTGTACCTCTTCCCACTTCTAATCTTTTTTTTTAGTGCAGATTAACAGTATTTTTTGAAAAAATATTTATTTGACGGAGAGAAAGATCACAAGTAGGCAGAGAGGCAGGCAGAGAGAGGAGGAAGCAGGCTCCCTGCTGAGCAAAGAGCCTGATTCAGGGCTCGATCCCAGGACTCTGAGATCATGACCTGAGCCGAAGGCAGAGGCTTTAACCCACTGAGCCACACAGGCACCCCCCACTTCTAATTTTTCTCCCTCCCCAGATAAACCACAGTCTTGAATCTGGTTTTATTATTTTCATGTAAAATATTAATACCATATGTATCCATAAACAATACATAGTGTTGTTTATGCTTTCATAACTAATGTAAATGACATCATAATGTGCAAATGCCTTTGTACTTTTCTCTCAACATTTTGAGACTTATCTATGAGGATACATGTAGTCATAATTTATCCATTTTAAATGCAATAGAGTGTTCATTTGTCTGCATGTACCACAATTCATCCTCCTGTTGATGGACATTTTAGGTGGTTTTCAGTATTTCCTTATTAAAAGCACTACGGCCGTCAGTGTTTTTTACATATCTCCTTAGGCATTTGTGTGAAAGCCTCTAGAAACCAGATCTTAGCTATATCACCTTGGAGCTTTTTGGAAAGACACCATCCCAGGCCCCATGCCAGACGTACTGAACTACACCTTATCTTAAGTAAGGTCTTCCTTTATGAAAGGTCCTTTATGAAAGCCTAAATCCTTTAGGCATATTGAAGTTTGAGCAGTTGGTCTCAAACGTAGTAGCACATTGGAATCATCTGGGAAGTTAAAAAAAAAAAAGCAGCAAAACAACCTTATGCCTGGGTCATATCCTCAGAAGTTCTGACTTAATTGCTCTAGGGTGTGCCCAGGTCTCCTGGGATTTTTAAAAACTCCTTAGATGATTCTAATATGTAGCCACGATTTAGAATGACAACTCGGACCAGTACAACTGTGACTGCATTTTATGTGTCACTTGGCTTTTGCTGGGATGCCACTCCAGAAAGGAGAGTTTTACCCATGATGGACAATGTCAGGCACGTAGAGACCATAATGGAACTTCTAACCCAGGAAATAACCAAAACACTTGAGCAAATGCTTCATCCTATTTTAAGTACTTTTAAAACATTTTAATTTGTTTTTAATTGAAAGAGTTTAATTTACTTAACAAATACTTGGAAGGTACTAACTATGTATCAGATAATCTCCTGGAAAGCACTTTAATATTACTAATCTTATTATGTGTTGAAAAATTTCCTTGCTACTTGAGAAAACCTTGAAATTTTGCATGGGATAGGGCAGTTTATCACAAAGTCCAAAGAACCTGTTAGGAAGGAGGAAGAATGCAGCGCAGGATGGTGAACCCCTCTGCTTTGTGCCCTGAGTGGCCCTGCGGCCCCATGGGACTCGACT